ACAACTTCCAAACAAAATTATGAGGTGAATCATCTTGTGAAGTCAATGAAACTAACCTGACGATTTAAGTCTTTTGCTTTATCAGCATATATCCGGGATTCAGATGTCAAACGGCTGGACATTTGACTGACCTCTGCAAAATTGACATTCGACAATCTAGTCAATAACCACCTAAGATGATCATAAATGGAATAACAAATAGGGCAATGAACATGGGAAGGGTGAAAATAGGAGCGAACCAACTATATAAAAATTATACATCATCATAAGAGTGTCCAATCAATGTCAAAGCTGCAAATCCTACAGCTGACTAATGTCATGTGCCTTTTGGATTTAGGAAGTGGCAAATATTGTCGGAACTGACACAACTCCCAATGTTATTTGCATAGAGATGGATTTGGTGTCCACTACTTTTATACCAAGAGAATCATAATTTTTTCTCAACAATATAGAGAACCCACTATCTTTTAACATGGACTTTAATGATTCCAAATAAAAATCTCATCTCACAAGTTCACAACCACAATACTCCATTTAAATTACCTTAATAATAAACCCAAAAATGTTATTTTCTGCCTTCAATATTAGCATATAAGATGCAGCCTACACAATTATACCTTGGAAGTTTCTGATAGAAGAAATCATTCTGGGAGTTAATGAGACATAAAGGAATAAACACTTAACCGTGTTATATTACATTATCAAATTTTAAGGACGTCGAAGTGTGGTCTTTTAAACCATTTTACTTCTCAACAATCTTCCACAGCATCCACTCTCCTCTGTTTTTGTCTCCCGACCTACTACATCAAGACATATAAACTTGAAAATTACAGACATTTAGACTTGTGATACACTACCAATGGACACCTGAAGTTCTGATAGGAAACTCTTGGAGACAACCATAATTTAAAATTTAGCGAGGCTGCTATGGGAAAGTAAAGAAAACCTTACCATAGATTGTCCAAATCTCACACTTGCCGTACATGGACATACAAGTCTCTAACCAAACTAGAAAGATCCTTATAAACACCAGAAGTTCAGAACTAATGTAACTGTAATACCACAAGCTCAATTTTAATATCAATTAGTTGACATTGCCGATATAATAAACTGAAAAGTTAAGTTAATAGCACATTAGCACAATATCTTTCGAGATAATCAAATCAAAGAAATCCAGAATGAACGAGGTATTGTTCACAAAAGAGGAATGTTAGAATGAGAAACTTACGGTCCAACTTTTCACCAACTCCAAGAACTTCTTGAACATTTCGAGTCATTATTTGATGAACTTCGTAAAGCTCATCATTCAACTTAGAAATGTTGCGTTGAGTTCTAGTATCCTGGTACAGTTTCTTCGTCTTCTGTATGAATGTATCTTTTACAACAGGGTAAATCACATATTGCAAGCATCAAAATATCAGTTTCACCAAAATATAATTGGACAGCAAAGAACATAAAAGAAAATACTCCAATAGATTACCAAATTTAATAAAAGCATATGGTCTAGCAGCAGTTTCAATTTGACTCCCATTGGCGCGCTCAAACTCATTCTTAAGGTCTTCCAGGTATTGAAAGGCAAGTTTCTTGGGATAAGAGCGATCACACATTGTCAGATAACAAACATGCCCTTCAATGATATAACTGAGAGCACGGGTTAAGAGAATACTATATACATGGAGTAAACTTTCTCAAGAGGGTGAAATAGAGACAGAAGAGCAATATTACTGGTGGTACAGAAAGCATACATGACAAAAAAAGTAGTTACGGCAACAGTAATTACTCCGGAAGTTCACATACTTTGGATGCGTTAATGATTGAAATGCCAAATCATCCTTGATATTTCACATTCAGTCAGCCATGATAATGATGAAATCGATGCTACTCAAAATCCAGTAAAAAACTAGAAGTACAATGTTTTAGTTGTGAAAGCTTATCAAGTGGAGATACTAAACAAACCAAGAGAATGTATGTCGCATAAGGGATCAAGAGTATTTAACAGCTTAGACACACCAAGGTGGAATCTCATTCATCTAAAGCACTAAACCAGCAACACTGATCATTTCTGAAATAAACAGAAAACTCCAACTTGTCTGTTATATTGAAACCAAATGGGAAAGTTTTAAGGACTATGAATGCTGAGCATTCAATCAACAGGATATTTCCTTTTCTAACAAGTATTGACTTCATAGAGTTTTCAAATTAAAATACCCCCAATAAGCAGTACCAAGATATAATTGAAACATGGGCAATAGTACAAGTTAATTGAAACAGTTAGGGAAGGGGCAAATTGATTACTAAAAATGCAAAATATTCATTAAAAGTTTCAAATGAATCCCCCATCCCACCCCGGCAAAACCCTATTAGAAGAAATAACTTGTCAAGCTCAGAAAGGAAGTTGCACATTCTCTCATCTTCGAGAGAAAATCAAAACACAATATATTATTGGGATTTTACCCATAAGTAAACCGGTGAAGTCACGTTGGAAATATAACATGAACATAAGGATACTGGAAGACGTAAGGTCCAGTTTCAATAGACATCCTTGAAGCGTCATTTTGGCGCATCGACAGGTTCTTGAATAAGGCCTTGACCTGCTGTTTGTAGAAATCTGCATTTTGAACATCACGACCATCATCCAGCCCCTCGGCTAAAGGAAGGCCATCAGTCACGCGAGCAATCAAAGTCAACTTCACCATATTTTCCCGCAAGCATACAGCTACATCGAAACACAAAAAGGTGAGAATTCAACTTTTTGTAGTCAAATTTCTATATTTTCTACTTTGTCCATGCCGTCTAACTTCTAACAGGATCATCTATATGAACAACATTCCCACAAATGACAACAACTAATGCATTATACTTCCAGTCAGTGCGACTGTTTGCTTTCAATCTAATAAACATAAAGCTGACGTGTTCTAAAATGATGAAGTAGACGCTGTGCAGTCAGGATGGTTTATTACACTTTAAGAGGAGTACTTAGCGGCTGAAGGGGGAGTTAGTTATTATTTAAAAAGCTTCACGGATTAGTCCTTACGTTTTTAAGTAAAACTATTTTTATGTACAAATTTGCATAGTCACACTTTTGGCAAGGTAGTAGAGTATATATATTGATCTGCAGCTCATTTGGAAGCACAGAAGAAAATCCCAAGTTCTATCTTCTTCTTAGCTAACTTAGGCAAATTCCTTCCGCTTCTGCTTCGAGTTGCTTTAAAAAATCTCCCTCAATTACTTTCCTTTTTAATTTATTCCAGAAAGAATGACTCTTTCCTTCTTTCTTTTCTTTTGCAACGCTTTAATTCTAGGTTCCAGCGTAGCATGTTTAAGACTTACAAGATCACCAGATAATTTGGTACATTCAAAAGTTCTTTTACTTACAAGACAATCAAATTGAAACCACAAAATATACACATTTTTAAAAAAATTCAACAGAAGCCGTATTCCTTAAACAAAATAGATAATCTCCAAGGAGCATTCATGTTATTTTACAAGAGTTTAATCCCTGAATACTTTAAGGCAGTAGAGGCACATCGACAGAACTGATTTGCAGAATAATTCTCTAACCCTAACAACTCAAACCTACGACATTCAATTCCAATGAAGAACGACTAAAATCAAATCTAATAAACACAAAATCACGCAAACAAACACAATGATATAAACAGATTGCTCACGAAGTTATTATCAGCATAGATAAAAAATTACCGATCGATCATACGCTTGCGTGACTGCTCGGAATCCAGTCGCCGATCGCTGACCGCCTTTGATAAGTTAAGAGTTTGAATCGGAGCTGGGAATAAATGGGATAGGAACAAAGAGGGGTTTTGCTGAGTTTGCTGAGATTTGAAGAGGTACGGTTTTGATAAAAATATAAAAAGTGTTTTTACACACTTGCATAAGCTGTGCTGATTTGTAATTTTCTTAGTGGGTGTCGACGTGTAGGTGGCCCAAGGCTGAGTTAAAGGAATTTTACCACATTTATTAACCAAAAATAATTATATACTCCATATTTATTTTATTTTATTTTTAATATATATAAATTTTGAATTTCCTGAACATATATATATATATATATATATATATTTTCTAGCATTTGAGTTACTAAGTTCCAAGTTCGAATTCGTGATACTAATATTAATGATAATATGGATAGCATAAAATTTAAAATTCATTTTGATGTCACTTAATCAATTAATCAAAACATAACAAATCAAATTTGAAGAGTAATTAGAAGAACAATATGATGTAAATTTCTTGAAAATATCAAAAAGTCATTTCGATTCAATTCATTCTTGGGTTAAGATGAACCCCCTTCTGCCCCATGTCATGATCAGACTCCCCAACATTGTGTCTAATAATTTGATCATATATAACAAGTTAACTAACATCACAATTTTTGTAGGCAAAGTTTCATTCTTTCAACTTAATAAGCAAATTAGCAGAAAATCTTGGGAATTGGTGGCTGTTTTTCATATACTTCAGTTCAAGTTTTGAAATAGTATTTGATAGGAAAATGGGGTGGGTGGCTTGTATTTGTAATATTTGGTCTTCTCTTAAACCTTTTTGGCTGCCAAACTTCAACAGTCACCAAAGCAAAAAACAACCTTCTGCTTGGCCTTATCTGCATTAGAAAAGCACAACAAATAAACTAATTTGCAAAAGTAAAAAACACAAGATCAACTACCAATCTAACCCGAAAAGTACTGCCAACAATTCTTAGTATGATGCATTTTGTTGAACAGCTTAGCGTTATATATATACAAGCATATGTACCCTTGTTTGATCATCCATATTCCTTGTGCAGTGACTTATTTAACTGAAGAGCGTTGCAGGTACTAGGTGGACTAGTTGAGGTGCCTGCAAGAATTAATGATTTGCAGGTGACAGGTTATTTAAGCCGGAGAAGCAGGCACATGCTAGATTACTCGGATTTCTATCCTTGAGAATTTTGCATGTGCCCTCGCCCTCCAGCTTAAACCCCCGCCAATAATTACATTCAAATATTAACAGCAATGCAAGTAAGTCATCATTAACTTACTGTAACAACCGTTTTTTTTAAAAAAATACATGAAATAATTAGATACAGAACCATAAATATCAGCTTATTGGCCACTTTTAAGGTGGCTTTAAATAGCTTCTTGCATAATGTTTACATAAATAGAATATGACGAACGCATCTTAGGATCTCTGGTCCATTTCCATGAATTATTGTCTATGAGGCCGGTTTTCCAAGAGCTGAAGCGGCTGAATCCATGTAAAGCAGTAAACAAGTGTAGAGTTTTTGCTTCAATCTATCAACTCTATCAGCCACGTTGTTTTTGTCTGAGCATAAGGTACTCCTTACTTTGTCCAACCATTCATTTGCATGCTTAAGTTGTGATAGTGTGAAGGCTATTTGATTTTTTGACTCCGTTTGGCGTGGTACACTTACTTTCGTTTTTTGTTCCTGCTTGTTCTGCCAGAGTCCAACTTCAAGTGCTCCCTCCAAGAATTTGAGAAACCAATACTGTATTTCATTTAACAGAAGCTCTCTTAGTTCCACGATGTCTTTGGAACCATCTCCTTTTGCCCACTCTAGCTTTTCAGACCCAGAAAGTTCCACAGAAGGCTTCAAAGACTTGCTTGTAGCTTTACCATTCATGAAACATGTCATCTTCCCTTCTTTCACCTTCTCATGAACAGATAATTTGGTAGCAAAATCATCTGGGGTTAGCTCTTTTGTTTTAACAGTACTGGGTAGTTCAATGAGATTGTTGAGCGCGAAAAACTTGGAGAGAGATATATGGGGACATTCTGGTGATGCTGAGGTGCACAGTTCAGCAAACATTCTGGAAAAGAGAGAAAATGAAATGAAAGAAAGAAAGAATGGAAGATGAAGAACTAGATGGATATCCAATTGTGGCCTTACATAAAACTCTGACTCCTAGACTGTACCTGAGGCAATGAAGAAGTTTTGCTGCTTCCTTCGCTTCTTCTTGAGCTTCTGCTGCTACTAAAGAAGCTAACAATCCCCTCCTAAGTATTCCCTTGTTATATGAACAAGAATGAGATTATAAATATACTTGATTCATTTTTCCTCTCTAATTGGTGCTCCATGTCTTTTCAACTATTAGTTTTCACCCACCCTCAAAAGTCTTTCTATCCAATAGAAGAATGACAGCTTCTCTAACAGCACTCAATGTTAGACCATTAGATCATAGTGCTATTAAATTGGTGACTAATGCGGTGTTGATATTAATTAAACAGAAGCATATACTATTCAAATGATATCTAAAGAATCAAATATACCTTCCCAGGCTTTGCAAGGTTGGTTGGTAGTGAGGACCAAGGCATGTATGCTTCTGAGGATTGACTGTTTTCTCTGATGCTTTCTTGTTTGCTTGTTGTGAGTTTCAATGTTGAAAATCTTGGAGTTTTCATATGCTTATTTATTCCTGAGTTTATCACAAATGCATCAGACTGGCTGCGGAAAGGAGTTGAAGACCGTGTCTGAAATCAACCGAGCAGAAACTTTTCTTAGCAAGCTCAGAAGAGAATTTAGATTCAATTGAACTTTCCCTGAATATTCTCATGTCCAAGTCCCTACTGCTTTCCTTTTTAACCAGTGAGTGCCTTTTTAATGTACTGGTGTTCAGAACAACATTTTGGAAAGTAGGACTTACTATTAATTTACATAAATATCTTCATTGGACATTGGAGAACTTGACGAATACGGAGTTGTAGCCAAAGAATAATTGGAATAAAACTTGGATATGAACAAATTAGCGAGTTTCACAAATGAATAATCTACGATACTGATCATACCTGACCTTTAAGCTCACATTGTTTCTCTTTCAGAGGTACGGCCTTTTTAGCAGCTCCACGGTTCTCATTCTCAATGCCTTTCACACCAGTACCTTGATCAAGCCCTCCAATCTTTGTGTTAGAGGTTAATACTCCTCGCATGTACCTGGAAGCAACAACCGTCTTTTGCTCTTTGATAACAAATTTGTTCTTACTGTCCTCTTTGTTCAATTCAGGCGATTCATTCAACTTCGAACCATTTACATCTTCCTGAGCATTTCGAACAGTGACTTCAGATGGTTCCAACATTTGCATTAAATCCTTCGGGTTACCTACAAATGGATGTCGCCCTGGAAGTCGCCTCACCCCTACTAAAACTGGAACTGGAGTTCCAGGCTCCATTCTTTCAACATAAAAGAACTGGCCAAGTTGCAATTTGTTGTTCAATATGAACTCATTCTCCTCTTTGGATAACGTGACATATGTCGAATGGGAAGAATCCGAAACTTTAATAAAGAAACCATGGTTCGGCCATAGTTCTGATCCATTCAAAGCAGGAACAATGCTGATGACTTGTAAAAGGACTGATCTATGTTCTCCACGAACCTTTTTATTGGAATGCATATTCTGGAGAAGCTTAATCAGTACTCCTGGTACAAGGGCTGCCATTTTGTTTGCTCCCAGTTACGCTAAAAACATAACATAATGCAAGTTAACTAAATTAAAACAATCCGAAAACCATCAAGAAGATCCTATGGAAAATGATATAGGACCACCTGTTTGTGTTTTTGCCAGTGAGAAAGAGGAAAAAATTACCAGGAAATATATACAAAGACTGGAGAAGGAGAAGAACCCGGCATTCGGAATCCGGCGCCTGAATGATGTGGAAGTCAAGCCAAGAAGCAATTTTTTTTGAATATATATCCATTGCAGGTACGTAGGTGTTCAGGTTTACTTGGCTTCTAAGCTAAGACGCCATCTTTCTGGTCCTGTTGACAATTCTATGGGGCCATTCCATTATCTGGTCCGACTTCAAATGACCCTTATGTCCCAATCCTGAATATGATAGTGTTTGGACTTTCGAGGGTAATCTGGTCAGTTTGCTCTTGGATGTTGTGTTGGTAGCAGGGCCATTTCCGGGAAGAGGAGGTGTAGCCATTTAGAGAGGTAAGAAAAGTTCGGATTTTGATTTTTCAGTTGTATGTAGGACTATCGAAAACGACACATGTAATTACTTTTATATCTAAGAAGATATTTTTTTTTTGGTAATCGTGGTATCGGGATAAGCTTGTGTGCCCCTTGACTAGTTACCAGTCACTTCCCACCATAGAGTATTCTTTTCTTAATAATAGACGAATGATTTCTGTTTTGCATACTAGACGATAAGTATTGTGTGTTTGATTTAGTCACTCTCTTCAAGAATCAAAAACATCCTAAATGCCAAACATGATTCTTGTTCATAGTATATGTTTTGCTAAACTGCTTGTGTTAATATACATTTTCTTCCAAGATTGCTAAATATGCAATGGCTTTTTGCATTAATATACTGAAGAAATTCATAAGGACAATATTTTGATGAGTTTCCAATATTCATAATCAGGTTCAAGAAAATGCCAAGGCTTCTGTTTCTGCGCGAACTAAGTTAGAATATAGACCATCCAGATGGGAAGCCATGAGTTTGTCGTGACTTCCATATTCTGCTATCGTGCCTTCCTTCACAACAGCAATCATGCTGGCTTCTCTAATTGTGGAAAGCCGATGAGCTACCACAACTGTGGTAGCCCTCTTGGAAATCTTCCTAAGTGCATCTTGAACATGCTTCTCGGATTCCAAGTCCAATGCACTGCTAGCTTCATCCAGTAGGAGCAACTTTGATTTCTTAAGTATGGCTCTTGCAATTGCTATCCTCTGTTTCTGGCCACCTGATAACTGAACACCACTCTGACCAACCTGTGAATTAGTCATCAATAATGCCAACTCTAGAGATTAGTCAAGTCACGCCACCTCATTGAAATAAAAATATATGTCGTAATTGAGAAGTTTACCTCTGTTTCATACCCTTGAGGAAGCCCACTGATAAATTTATGAATGTGAGCTTCCTTTGCTGCTTCTTCGATTTCAGCCCATGTAGCATTAGGATTGCCAAATGCAATATTCTCTCTAATGGTGCCAGCAAATAGGGCCGGCTCTTGACTGACCAGGGCTGTCTGCCTTCTCAACCATTTCAAATTTAGCTCCCTCAGATCAACCCCTTCTATCAGTACTCTTCCTTGTGTTGGGTCGTAAAACCTCTGTATCATCCATATCACTGTTGACTTTCCAGATCCACTTGCTCCAACCAATGCTACCATTGTCCCACCTCTGATCTTAAGAGTAAAGTTTCTCAACACTATGACATCTGGCCTTGATGGATATGCAAATGTGACTGTCTTAAACTCTATATCAAATGGCTTTGATGTTTCAATCTTTTTTCCTTTCAGACGGTCAGTTCTTATTGAAGGCCTACGATTAATAATAGAAAGAACGGCGGGTATTGCAGTTGAAGCCATAGAAGTATCTGGGGCAAGGCCAGCAAGTTGTCCAACAGCGAATGAGCTTAGTACAAGTATTAAGAAAATCTTATATACATCGCCGAAATTAGTATAGCCTTGCTTTACCAAGTATGCACCAAACCATAGAGTCAGGGTATATGCTCCGTACATTGCACCTTGAGAAAGGCCTAGTGCTAGACCAAGCATTTGTGACCTTCTGACCGATGTTCGCTTGGGCTCAGATAAAGCTTTTTCGAATGATCTAACTATTTGCTCCTGAGTTGAGAATGTTGCCACAGTTCTTATATTTGACACAGCACCTGCAGCTATACTACTTGCTTTAGCATAAGAGCTGTTGTCTAGTTTCCCTCCTACATTTATAATCAAAGTGAGGTAGCTTGCTCCTAGAGTAAATGGTGTGACAGCTGTGGCCAAAAGAGCTAATCTCCATTCAAGTTTGAACGACACACTGAGTCCAACAGCTGCTGAGCTCAGGCCCATTAGCAGGACAGAGAACCTATCACCAAGAACAGACCTGAAACTGACACAATCAACAGAAAGCCTTGACACTAGAACTCCAGTGGAATTCTCGTCAAGATCAAACCAACCAGGTTCTTGTTTGAGTATAGATTTAAACAATAAACTTCTAACTCTCATGGTGAGCTTGGTACCAGCCCAACCACAGAAGCCTTGCTGACCTACCATCGCGAATATACATCCAAATCCAAGACCAACTAGTATCAAACAGAGGTATCCAACTTCCCTTTTCAATCTTGACATGTCTGTATAAAAGTATACTTTAAGTGCTTGCCCTAGAACTAAGGGATAGAGGGAGAGAATTGCACCTGCAAGCATACCCATAATTAGCCCTACTAATAGCACTATCAGCTCTTGTCGCTGCAGGTTCCATAATTCTGAGAGACGATAACTCTTCATTTTTGCTTGCTCTCCTTCTTCCTCTTCTATCTGGCTTCCTTCTTGCATAGATTTCAGGTACTTTGATCTTGAGATTTCATATACACCTTTTACTCTTGCCACATCATAATTTGATTTTTCATAGGCAGAGAATTCCTTTTCCTTTGGAACATCTCCCTGATTTGACATAGGTTTTGGGACTGCTTCTGAAGCGAGCTTGATGAGGCCAAAATATGCCCCAGCCTTTTCCATTAGCTGATCATGATTACCTGTTTCAACAACTGAACCACGATCAAGAACGACTATAGTGTGAGCATTTCTTACTGTTGCTAACCTATGGGCAATCACTAATGTGGTTCTGTCCTTGGAGATCTTGTCAATGGCCCGTTGCACAATGGCTTCTGACTCGGCGTCTAAGGCACTTGTTGGCTCGTCCAAAAGAAGAATTTTTGGGTCTTTAATCATTGCTCGAGCAAGAGCAATCCGCTGCTTTTGTCCTCCAGAGAGTTGGGTTCCTCGGTCTCCAACCTGTACAGGTACACAAGTTTAGTATTACTAGTACCCTTTTAATATGCATATGGTTATCTCACTAGATTTGTTTCTTGGAATAATGTAATGCATATATTGCACCTGTGTATCATAGCCCTCTGGAAGTCTTGAGACAAAGCTGTGAGCATTTGCCGCAACACAAGCAGCCATAGCCTCTTTCTTGGTAGCATTTTCTTTTCCCATCATCACATTTTCAAGTATGCTTGTCCCAAATAGTACTGGTTCTTGACCAACCATACCTATCTGAGTCCTCAGCCACTTCACTTGCAATGTTCTTATATCATGGCCATCCAAGGTAATAAGACCTGCCAGATATATGTAATTTTTTTTATCATTTATTAATATCTTTCCTCCAATATCCACAATGTTCATTCCACAGGTATAGTTTTCATATAAGATAGATTCATATGCTTACCCTGAAGCGGATTATAAAATCTTTCTATCAGAGCAAATATTGTTGACTTTCCACCTCCGCTGATGCCCACTAATGCCAATGTCCTGGAAGCTGGAACAACTAAATTAAGAGACTGGAGAATCTGGACAGTTGGACGAGCCGGATACGCAAAGGTAACACATTTAAATTCAACCTTCCCTCTTATAGTTGACAACCTCCTTCCCTCTAGACTATAGGGATCTATCTCTGGCACCCTGTCTATAACTTCAAATACCCTGGTAGCTGCAACAGTTCCTTGTGCAAACTGAGCAAAATAAGATAGGGATAGAGCCAAGCCCCTGCAAAAATCGACATATGTTTACTTAAGCCAGAGTAGATATGTTGTCAATATAATGTGAAAATTTTAGTTGTGTATGTCAATTGGTAAATTATTATGATTTTCCTATAATAGAATAGTTTTCAATAAGCTGAATTATTGATGAGACTGTTAAATGTTTGGTTCCTTGAAAGTTTTGAGACTTTTATGGTACTTAAATTTCATTTATTAATTTAAGTTGATTAGTTAATTAAACCTTCTTCTGGTTGAGGGCATATACAGAGAAAAATGACAAATTATTTACCTGCCTCCAACATTAACACCAAAGAAACAAGCAATGGCTGCACCACCTGAAAGCTCTCCCTTTGCTACAAGGATTGAACCGTACCAGAAAGCCAATGCCCATGTCGCATAAGTAACTAAGTAAATAACACCAATTCCTGCTCCTTTAGCAAACCCAACCTTTGCCCCCAAACGGCCTGATTTCTGCAGCGATTCCACATATTTTGCATCTAAATAGTCCTCTGCTACAAAAGCAGTTACGGTCCTAATTGAACTCATTGCTTGCTCTGCAATGCTGCCAGCTTTTCTGTAAGATTCCTTTACAAAAGAACAACAAAACTCAGTATACAGTTTAAACTGAACTAAGCAGAGAAATATTAACTTGTACTTCTTTGTGAAACTATTTGACTAAGAACGACATTTCGATGCATTTATTACAGGAATAATAGTGGAAGAAAGCGTATTAAAATAACAAGGAAATGTTTAGGTTGAGGAGAAAATGTCACATTAGTTATAGCTGATTCTAGAAACTTGTAAAGTTTTTATGAAATAAATTTCAATGGGATGCTGTGAAATAATTTAGGACGGTCGAAATGGAAAGATTGTCATATAAATTGGGACAGAAGGACTTATTTTGAGTTGCTCTGCATGCCTCTCACCTCTTCTTTCAATGTGAGGCCAACGTAGATGGCTTTATAGGCAAGGCCACAGAACATGGACAGTGGTGTTACTGCAAAAACTGCCAGGGAAACTTTCCATGATCTTCTAAAACCAACAGCATAGCCATTGATGAAAGTGAAGATGTGGTGAACAAAATGTGCCATCTGCACGAGGAACAAAATTACACAGGATCACAGAGACAGTTATATGCATAAGGCCGACATCGCTAGTTTGAGAAGAAGACATTAAACTGAATATGATACCAGACCAAATAACTTCTTTCTGAAAGAACATTCTAAACCACAGTAAACAATGATAGTTGATCATTATTATAAAACATAATGTGACAATATTTATTATCTTGCATATCTTATTAAAATGAATCAGTTTCCGCATGTGTGATGGCCCAAGGCTATTCGGATGCACAGACAAGACTGTGACTTGACTTGTTTTGGGTGCTAAGAGTTATCTTTCAACTTAGGAATGACTCCCGATTTTCTTGTCTGAGCACCCTACTAATTTATTTGTTGTAATGTCGATATAAATCCTTTATCTGCTCCTCTCCAATTTTCAAATGATTTTTGCTGGTACTTGGTGTAAGTTTTCTCTGGATTTAAAATTAGCCATTGTATAGTGGGAATGCTAAC